TGCAGAGATAAGGCTGAGGGACCACATGAGTGGTGCATGGGGCCCACGGGTACGTGGCGGGTGAGCACACGATGCGGCTGACGCGAGATTAGAATGGGCCGCCAGATACTAATTGTTTTCCTAAACTTATTTGCAACAAAAGAACATTAAGGTGCCGTAGTACTGCCAGCATTATATTTGGAACCTCTGCCTTGATCTATTTGTCCGTATATCCTTGCTGTCTGCTTCACCATCGTTTGTCCTTGAGATGGTAGTTCATGTAATTTAACACTTTCCTCATTATTTTGAATGCTAAGCGTGAGATACCAGCTTGAACTTTGTTGAGCTGAACATTTCTCTAGCGAGGCAAATTCTTCCGTTTGCTGAGTTATTTTAACTCTTTCAATCAGTTATAAAGAGAGTGACTCAACCTCGACAGGAGGAGCAACCGTCTGATGACCATCTCTTCTTCCTTGAGGTAATCATGGGTAATAGTTATATCTTTGACAGCATTTTTGCGCTAAGATGCCTGCTAATGACATCACATGTGCCCTAATTGGAGAATTGTTGGCTGGCTTTCAGGCAAAGCTTTGTAATGGGAAATTTTTCATTGTTGAAGCTCGGAGAAAGGGGTTCTTTAGTTTTGGGAAACAGCGTGTTTTGTGCCACAATCTTGTCGACCTATTGAGGCATCTCAGCAGAGCATTCAATAATGTTCGTTTATCTCACATTCTGTTTGTAAATTTTATATTAGGGTAATCTAAATTGTTATCTAATAATCTTGCATCCTGTATTGTATTTTACCTTGTTATTAGATATCCCACTTAAATCTGTAGCCTCTTCTGGACAAATGAACTTATATACACTTTAAAGATGAAATGTAGTTAATAACAGCAGAATTTTGAATCTATTTTTAATGTATGTATGTGTGTGAACATTTGTGGTGTAGTGTGTACGCTTTTTGTGCATTAGTAATTGAGACGATGAAATTGAGAGAAGATAAGTAATAATCAGGACAAAATTCCTTACTTACCTCAGCTGCAAGAAGGTTTGAATTGGTAAAGTCTATTTTGGCAGCAGCTGCGAGCCCTCCACTTTCAAATTTCTACTGCCAAAAATAACAATCTGCCTATCAGATTTTTCACTTATTTAGATTTAAACTACGTACTAAAATTGATAATTGAGCATGCCAGTGCATTGTTGTAGGTTTGGAAAGTGGCATTTGCCAATACTGTACATTGGCAGTGTCAAATTCCCATTCTAGAAACTACTTGAGGTTCTTAATTACCTACAATTTTATAGCACTATTTAACTATTTCTGTATGCCACTGTGCAGTCTCATTTTCTGTATCTCTAATTCTTTTCTATGACTTTGTTATATGAATTTAATCCTTTATGGTGCTTGCATATATATTAGGCATACGAGGATCTTATGAAGGCATTTTTGGAACGGAACAAGGTGCGTTGTTACCCTATTTTGGGTGTTTCATTGTACTTATCTTTTTCTAAATTTCAATGGAAACTTTTCACAAGACCGTGACTTTGCATTTGGATTATTGTGTGCTTGGGCATAATGATTGATCTGAAAAGGAGTTGAATATATTTTAGTGCACTTTAAATATCAAACAACAATTTGGGTTGTCTTCTAGGAATATCTACCTTCCTTCTACAGTTATGCTGTTGTTCATATTCAGTTTCTTCCATTTGGGGCTCCTCTAGTATGTTGCGCTTGATTATTACATATTTACTTGCAGGTTCATATGAATCATGTTTTTGTATTCCATCCGCCATCAGACAACAGTTTTCCTATCTAATGCTGCATCATGACCTAATTATAACTGCTTGTATGTTGCAGTTCGGAAATTTTCCTTATGGTTATCGTGCAAATACGTGGCTTGTTCCTCCGATTGCTGCCCAGTCACCATCAACATTTCCTCCCCTTCCTGCTGAGGATGAAACTTGGGGAGGCAATGGAGGTGGTTGGGGAAGGAATGGCAAAAGTGACATGTTGCCATGGGCAGATGAGTTCATGTATCTCACATCCATGCCTTGCAAAACTGCTGAGGAGAGGGAAATTCGTGACAGGAGAGCATTCCTACTGCACAGTCTATTCGTAGATGTTGCCATGTTTAGAACTATTGCAGCCATCCGGCATGTAATGGAGAGTACAGATGCGTCAACAGCAATCAAGATAGATGAGGTCTTGCATTCTGAGACGGTGGGAAATTTTAGCATCACTGTCACAAGAGATTCTTCAGATGCAAGCTGCAAGCTGGACACTAAGATAGATGGAAGCCGAGCCACAGGAGTGGACTCTAAGCATCTTGGAGAGAGAAACCTTTTGAAAGGAATAACTGCCGATGAAAACACTGCTGCACATGTATAAGTTCAAAATTAAGGTGATCTTTCTCATATTCAGGTAAAAGAGAGGCTTTTCCTAATTTCGTCTCTAATTTGCAGGATGTTGACAGTTTGGGCATCGTGAATATTAGATACTGTGGGTATGTTGCTGTAGCAAAGGTTAACAATTACGAGAAAACTATTGTGGCTTCTTCTATTAAGCCTGCTGATATCATGGATCAACCTGAAGGGGGTGCCCATGCATTGAACATCAACAGGTTGGTAGCAATGCTTTGTTTTGTTTTTCTAGTTATCCACGAAGTTTATGCTGCTTATCCCATTCTTTCTTTATTATATATATTTATTGTTTTTAGTTTGAGGATGCTCATAAATGAAGCCAATGCAACTGGAGAAAAAAAGTTACCAACACAAAGTCATAGGCAGGAAGAACTAACTGCAGCACAAACTTATGCTGAGAACTTGTTGAAGGGAAGTCTTCAAAATCTTGAGGAAGAGGAGACTGATAAACAATCATTTATGAGATGGGAACTTGGTGCGTGTTGGGTTCAGCACTTGCAAGACCTGAAAAAATCTGACAAAGACAAAAAACAAGGTGATGGGAAGGAAAAGAAGAAAATGGTGGACAAAGCTGTGAAAGAGACAAAGATTGAAGGGCTTGGGAAGCCTCTCAAAGCTCTTAAGCACCCGAACAATGCGGTTGATGCTTCTGGCAAGGGATCCTCATCAGGGAACAAAAGTTTGACTGATGCAACAAGCTCTGGGGAAAACCAGAAAGTCAACTCATCATCTGTTGAATCGCCTCAAGGAGACTGCATCACCTCCGAGAGTGAAATCTTGCTGAAGGATGTATTACTGGATTCCGCCTTTACAAGGTTGAAAGATTCAGAAACAGGACTCCACCAGAAGGTAGAAATGCATTAATTTTCATAGCAAGTGATGATTTCGCATCTGCCCTTTGCTGTCTTTCATATCCAACTCATACCCTCCTCATTTCAGCATTTAGTTTTATAAATAAATGTCCTATTTAAAATAGAGTTTCCTTGTGATTATTAATCTTTGGCAATCATAATACAATTCATATATAACTGTCAGTATTAAATTTCATGTGATACTGTGTTTGCCAATATTGTGGATATCAAGGTATGCTGTGGAGGGGTTCATGAAATGTGTTCTTACCTGACTCAGAACCTCAAAGTTGTGGAGCTTACCTCAGGTGCACTAGGGGTTGATAAATTGTAGTGCAGCTGGCTAAGGGTCTTGTGCTTTCCCATCCTACACCTGCTCGAGGCCTCGCTTAAGCAGGGTGCTAATGCCCGTTCTTCTAAATTAAAATTTCACCGGTGCTAGTGCCTATGGACGAGTGTTTTTTACATCAGCGTGTGGTACTTCAAACAACATCAAATATGCAAGGCTTTTCACCTTTCTTGATTTTGTCAGATCCACTTCTGAATTCTACAAAATAATAAAATCAATTGTATGAAACAGACTACGTATTGTTTTAGCACCCTTGCTTACCAAGTGGCCATTTGTAGCTACTAATCATGCATAAAGTTCATACACTAATCTCTTGTGCTCCACAGTCACCATCTGAGTTGATTGAGATGGCTCTGAAGTTCTATGATGAAGTTGCGCTTCCTAAGCTGGTACGCATCATCATATGGGACATGAATAAGTTCCCACATGCTTATCCTTTTTAGTCATGAGGCATAATAACTAACCAAGAAATTATTTAGGTTGCCGATTTTGGTTCATTGGAACTTTCACCTGTTGATGGTAGGACCTTGACAGATTTCATGCATACGAGGGGCCTACAGATGCGCTCCCTAGGACGAGTTGTAAGTTTGCAACAATTTTTCATTTGAACATGATGAAATGTCATTTCTTTTTTAGTGCTTGATATGTGCTAATCTAAGAATTCCCTATGTAGGTCAAACTTTCAGAGAAGCTCTCACACGTACAGTCCCTTTGTGTGCATGAAATGATAGTGAGAGCATTCAAGCACATTGTCCGATCTGTGATTGCAGCTACTTCAGACATGCGACAATTAGCATTAACAATACCTGCAGTGCTGAACTTACTTCTTGGTGTTCCCGAATCTGAATTTTCTGGAAGTTCTCCTGCTGTGCATCCCCTAGTGTGGAGATGGCTTGTTGCTTTCTTGAAAAAGCGATACCAGTATGACCTCACAGAGCAACATTATGTTGATGTGAGGAAATACGCTATACTGAGAGGACTATGCCATAAGGTAAACATGTTTGAATCTTTTTAACATTTCCCACACTCGGTGCATTTTATTGAGCTTAAAGGTTGCTTTTAGGTGGGCATTGAATTGGCACCCCGAGATTTCGTCATGGATTCTGCTTTCCCGTTTTACAAACAGGACATTATTAGCCTTGTCCCTGTACATAAGGTAAAAGTATTTTCCTCAGTTCAATTGTTTTTATCATACTGTACAAAAATCACATTGTGCTGTCATGGCTTGATCATCACATATGGCTATCAGTGTTTTGAGAACTTGTTAGATAAATGAGTGGCACATAAACACAACTGACGTGTTTTTAAAAAAATGCAGCAAGTTGCATGCTCATCTGCAGATGGAAGGCAACTTCTAGAATCCTCCAAAACGGCTCTTGACAAGGGTAAACTTGAAGATGCTGTTAATTATGGAACCAAGGTACCTTGTAAAATCTTGTGCGTTTCTTTTTTGCAATTCCTTATTTGTCATATCTTGGGAACTAATAAATTATTTTATCTATGAATGTAGGCTCTTGCCAAGCTCATAATGGTGTGTGGTCCCTATCATCGAATGACGGCTGGAGCTTATAGCCTTCTAGCTGTTGTTTTGTACCACACTGGTGATTTTAATCAGGTAAATGGTTATTCAGGTGCACAGCAGATAGTTTGTAATAATTGCTATGCATATTTTGAAGACAATTGAAGTGATAGCACTGTTTAGTTAAGTGAGGAATTGTTGAACGTCAGAGATAGAAAGACGTGCCGTTGCACTTTCTTCATGTAGGTATTTGTGTAAACTCAGAAATAACATGTACTTTTAGCATTCTCTGCTAAGCAAGTTTTCAGTTACACTGAGTGAAGGATACTTAAAGGTGTTATAATTTTGGATTACACTAACTATAACACCTAAGGAACATATAGGGAAGAATATAGTACAAATTCTGATAAAAGTGTGATTTTCTTCCAGTTTTAGGAGGAGTTACGTTAACATCAGCAGATCTTAAGTTTTTCTGCATATTAATAACTAGTGAAGTTGAAAATTGCAGGCTACAATATATCAGCAAAAGGCCCTAGATATCAATGAGAGGGAACTTGGGCTTGATCATCCTGATACGATGAAGAGTTACGGAGACCTTGCTGTTTTCTACTATCGTTTACAGCATACAGAACTGGCTCTGAAGTAAGTTCAGTTTATGAAATACTCTTTTTTTATTCATGCAGCAACTCTACAGTTTCACAAGGGCTGAGAAAATAGTCATTCCAGGTGCAAGTTGAAGAAAAGTTACATATATCCAAAAGAGTAGGAGACCTCCCTTAGGGTATTTTATCTAGCAAAGTGCTATGTCATGCTGATGAATTTTGCCATATTAAATAGTCTTGCTATTGCTGCCAAGAATATATTTACTATCTTCTCAGGTTATAGCTGTTTTTTTCGCAAACTTATTATGTCAAATGTGCATATTTGGTTCTCTCTCTCTATGCTTTATTGTTTGGATTAAAAAACTAATCTTGTCTTATGATAATAATGCTAAAAGTGAGTAGGAACTAGCTGCTTAGTCTTCTTGAGTCTCCAAATTCTTTGTAGTGTGGTTTCGTGTCTGAGATGCTATCTCTCAGCTCTCACTCCATTATTGTTAATTACAACAGTTGAAATAATATAACTAGACGCTTGCATGAATGCCATCAACATATAACCATCAAACCTAATGCTGACGCTTATAAACTCATAAATGCTAGGTGAATCCCTAGGTAGTGATATGTTTCCCTGATATTGTAGCTAAACCGCAAGCATATGTATTATCCTTTTTATTCTTGGCCGAGGTTGCAGAGGGTAAAAATGTATGGTATTTGCTTCTAGCCTCAAATTATTAAATTATTAATTGATGTCATGTAAAACTCTTATCGAGGATGGACCATAATTCCCTTAAGGTCATATGTCTTTAAAGACTGAAGATTCAATAACTGTTTATTTACCTGTGTATGAGCTTGTCTTGAAGGTTATTTCATAGATATCAAAGCTATTGCAATATGGGAAAATCTAAGGTTTGAATAAACAATGTGCTATACCTGCTATCCTCTTGATACTCCTTGCAGTATATGACCCTAATGATTTAGATTCATTGCTACAGTGTCTACAAAAAATTAACCTTTGGTGCAAATTAGGTACGTCAAGCGTGCATTATATCTTCTACATCTTACATGCGGGCCATCTCATCCAAACACAGCTGCGACATATATTAATGTAGCCATGATGGAGGAAGGCTTGGGGAATGTGCATGTAGCTCTTAGGTACTTACACAAAGCTTTAAAATGCAACCAGAGATTACTTGGGCCTGATCATATCCAGGTAATTGTCTTTCTCAACATTTTAAGAAAACCTTGTGGCAAATGGCATGCTTTTGTTATTTTAGGGTGAAATGTACACTTAGTTAGAATAATTATTAAATGTGAATGATGTTCATTTCGTGCCACTTTACAAATCATACTTGTTGACTTGACAACACATCAAAAAATCTTAAGTGGATGCCTTCAATGACTTAACAAGCTATTGTCAAAACAATCAGGAACGAATTGTGTTAGTTCCAACAGACATATGTCGATGATAAGTCAAATTATGCAAGGCTAGGCGCTGTCAAGATTGCATCATTGGAACCCTCTGGGTCAGGGTATGGGCCACAGAGCCCAAGAGAGGCATCATCGACCAAGGAGGAAACTTACCATGCGACATATAAGGAATCCCTATAGGGTACGTAGGAAAGGCTGAATGTTTTGATATCAATACCAGTCCGGACTCCCC